CCTGGCCTCCTGTTTCCACTGCCTAGTTTCATTACTTTGCATTTACTCGGGTTGAACTTCAACAGCCATTTGTTGGACCATTCACTCAGTCTATCCAGGTCATCTTGTAGCCTCCTACTATCATCCTCTGTTTCAATCCTCCTCATAATTTTTGCATCGTCGGCAAACATTGAGAGGAACGAATCTATACCCTCTGGGAGATCATTTACATATACCAGAAACAGTATAGGTCCGAGGACTGACCCCTGCGGGACTCCACTTGTGACGTCTCGCCAATCTGAGACTTCACCCCTCACACAGACTCGTTGTCTCCTGTTGCTTAGGTATTCCTCTATCCACCGGAGTACCTTCCCTCTCACTCCAGCCTGCATCTCCAACTTTCGCACTAGCCTCTTGTGTGGCACTGTATCAAAGGCTTTCTGACAATCCAAAAATATGCAGTCTGCCCACCCTTCTCTTTCTTGCCTTATTTTTGTTGCCTGGTCGTAGAATTCAAGTAACCCTGTGAGGCAGGACCTGCCATCCCTGAACCCATGTTGATGCTGTGTTACAAAGTTCCTTCGCTCCAGATGCTCCACTAGTTTTTTTCGCACAATCTTCTCCATCAGCTTGCATGGTATGCAGGTTAGGGACACTGGCCTGTAGTTCAGTGCCTCCTGTCTATCCCCTTTCTTGTATATCGGGACTACGTTAGCTGCTTTCCAAATATCTGGCAGTTCCCCTGTTGCCAGTGATTTGTTATACACTATGGAGAGTGGTAGGCTCAGTTCTCTTGCTCCTTCCTTTAGAACCCAAGGGGAGATTCCATCTGGGCCTATAGCCTTCGTCACGTCCAACTCTAGTAAACACTTCCTTACTTCCCCACTGGTAATCTCAAACTCTTCCAGTGGTTCCTGGTTAGCTATTCCCTCACTTACCTCTGGAATTTCTCCTTGTTCTAAGGTGAAGACCTCCTGGAATTTCTTATTCAATTCCTCACACACTTCCTTGTCATTTGTAGTGAATCCTTCCGCCCCTATCCTTAATCTCATAACCTGTTCCTTTACTGTTGTTTTTCTCCTAATGTGGCTATGCAACAATTTAGGCTGAGTCTTTGCCTTGCTTGCGATGTCATTTTCGTATTGTCTTTCTGCCTCTCTTCTCATCCTGACATATTCATTCCTGGCATTCTGGTATCTTTCTCTGCTCTCCAGTGTCCTGTTATTCCTATAGTTTCTCCATGCCCTTTTACTTTGCTGCTTAGCTAGCCTACATCTTTGATTAAACCATGGGTTTCTCATCTTCATTTCTCTGTTTTCCTTTTGGACTGGGACAAACTTGTTTGCTGCGTCCTTGCACTTCTGCGTGATGTAATCCATCATATCTTGGGCCGTCTTTCCCCTGAGCTCTGTTTCCCATGCTATATCTGTTAGGAATTTTCTTATCCCCTCATAGTTTCCCTTTCGGTATGCTAACCTTTTGGTTTCGGTATCCCTCCTCGAGTTCAATAACCCTTCTTCAATCAAGTACTCAAACACCAGTACACTGTGGTCACTGTGTGTGTGTGTGTGTGTGTGTGTGTGTGTGTGTGTGTGTGTGTGTGTGTGTGTGTGTGTGTGTGTGTGTGTGTGTGTGTGTGTGTGTGTACTCACCTAGTTGTACTCACCTAGTTGTGTCTGCAGGATCGAGCATTGACTCTTGGATCCCGCCTTTCGAGCATCGGTTGTTTACAGCAATGACTCCTGTTCCATTTCCCTATCATACCTGGTTTTAAAATTATGAATAGTATTTGCTTCCACAACCTGTTCCTGAAGTGCATTCCATTTCCCCACTACTCTCACGCTAAAAGAAAACTTCCTAACATCTCTGTGACTCATCTGAGTTTCAAGCTTCCATCCATGTCCTCTCGTTCTGTTACTATTCCGTGTGAACATTTCGTCTATGTCCACTCTGTCAATTCCTCTGAGTATCTTATACATTCCTATCATGTCCCCCCTCTCCCTTCTTCTTTCTAGTGTCGTAAGGCACAGTTCCCTCAGGCGCTCTTCATACCCCATCCCTCGTAGCTCTGGGACGAGTCTCGTTGCAAACCTCTGAACCTTTTCCAGTTTCATTATATGCTTCTTCAGATGGGGACTCCATGATGAGGCGGCATACCCTAAGACTGGCCTTACGTAGGCAGTGTAAAGCGCCCTAAATGCCTCCTTACTTAGGTTTCTGAATGATGTTCTAACTTTTGCCAGTGTAGAGTACGCTGCTGTCGTTATCCTATTAATATGTGCCTCAGGAGATAGATTAGGTGTTACGTCCACCCCCAGGTCTCTTTCACGCGTCGTTACAGGTAGGCTGTTCCCCTTCATTGTGTACTGTCCCTTTGGTCTCCTATCTCCTAGTCCCATTTCCATAACTTTACATTTGCTCGTGTTGAATTCTAGTAGCCATTTCTCTGACCATCTCTGCAATCTGTTCAGGTCCTCTTGGAGGATCCTGCAATCCTGCAATCCAATGTGTGTGTGTGTGTGTGTGTGTGTGTGTGTGTGTGTGTGTGTGTGTGTGTGTGTGTGTGTGTGTGTGTGTGTGTGTGTGTGTGTGTGTGTGTACTCACCTATTTGTATCTGTAGGATCGAACCTTTAGCTCTTGGACCCCTGCCCTCTAGCCGCTGGTTGTCTATTGCCAATGACTCTTGTCTTATTCCTCTGTTATATCTAGTGTCGAAATTATATGTGGAGTTAGCTTCTACAACTTCCCCATTTGGTTCATTCTAGTTCTCACTACTAATTAAACGTGAATAATAATTTCTATATCTCTGTGACTCATCTGAGTCTCAAGCTTCCACCCATGCCCTCTTGTTCTATTGTTATTAATTTTGAACATTATCGTTTTTTCAATATTTTTTTCAATCCCCTAAGTATTTTATAAGTCTTTATCATGTCCTCTCTCTCTCTCTCTCTCTCTCTCTCTCTCTCTCTCTCTCTCTCTCTCTCTCTCTCTCTCTCTCTCTCTCTCTCTCTCATAAGATTAATAATTTATCGTATCATGTGAAGGATAATGGTTAATCAAATACTGGTGATGCAATCAGCTCGCCAGGTCTAAGTGGCTCCTGTACAACTTTTCTAAATCTTTGGCGGCTTTGTTTACAACTATTAAACAGTTAATAAGCTCCGAAGCACCAGGAAGCTGTTTGTAACAATAACACAGGTGATTGGGAGGTTGTCATGCTTGTAAACTGATTAATGAATGTAACCAAAGCCGTCAAAGATTGAGGAAAGATGTACACGTTCGTAAACACTTACGAAACAGCTTCGTGAATCTGACCCAACACGCCAAACTCTACGGTTTGCACGTGCCACGTTTCAATACATAAATGCCTTTAATGCAGGGGAGGACGTCATTAATACAGAGCTTGGGTCACAAGATAGGATATATATATATATACACTGATAAGTGTATTTCTCTTCTCTGTAAATATACATTTGAGAGTTTACTCTCAGCATGAACACTGTTCAGGATTGTAGTCCACTTATTGACTGGTCAGTATAAGCTGTTGTTGTAGTCTAAGATTTATTTATTCAGGACTAAAATTTCCATGTAGCACGGGCTGTGGTATCAAAATATAAACTATTGTTGTGTCCTTAATAACCCTCCCACGGTTACCTTGCGGTGGTTCCGTGAATCAGCGTTCCCGCGGCCCGGTCTCTGACCAGGCCTCCTGTGGTTAATTGATCTTAAACTCATCACCAACCAAGGGAGCAGATTGGGAAGACGTCAGCTGCGAGCCAAGTAGTAATGTCATCAGATCCATTCTTCCCTTCTGAGATAAGTTGTAACGGGCTCATTGTTGACGAGAATTTTACATTCATAAAACTGATAGACATTAATGTTGACCAGACCACACACTAGAAGGTGAAGGGACGACGACGTTTCGGTCCGTCCTGGACCATTCTCAAGTCAATTGTGTGTGGAATTGCATACCGCTCTGTGGTGTGAGGATAAGATTCACATGATTCATGTTCTGGAACCTGTTTGGAAAGTGAGCATGTTCTGCCACATGATCATATGTGAGTGTGAATAGATTCGATCGACTTGAGAAGGGTCCAGGACGGACCGAAACGTCGTCGTCCCTTCACCTTCTAGTGTGTGGTCTGGTCAACATACTTTAGCCACGTTATTGTGACTCATCGCCTGCAAATAGATTAGCGTATGTGAATGTGATCATGAGTACAAATTTGATTATGTGAGTGTGAATGTGATTGTGAAGGTGTATCTGTGTGAATATGTAAGTGGAGGTGAATGTGAATATGGTAGTGTATCAATATGACTGTGAGTGTGTAATTGTGTGTGTACGAATGTGAATGTAAATCTGTGAGAATTACAGATTTACAAATTCTGTGACTCTGCGAGAATGACTGTATTCGTGTGTGTGCTTTCATAAATGTACCTGAGAGCTCCAACACATATTAACCGTGTATATATTCCCCAGGTCCAGTATAAATTACCTGTCTCTGTAATGGCTTCACCAGGTAAACTGTTCCACAGGTACGTTGTTTACCCCCCCCCCCCCTCCTAGATAATTACTTCCTTTGTCTGCTCTTTTAAGCTATAAACTTACGGCTTCTCCTTTGAAGGACATTACAGAGTAGCGGTCAGAGTTTATGGTGTGTATATTGGCAATGTAATTTAAATGTGTTCCGGAGTGTGGTCTGTGGTAGGGTCTCTTTTGTTGTATGGGGGTATGACATGACAGCCATCAGAAGGTCCTGATGATCGTTGTCTTAAACCGGAGTTTATCCAGTTAGATTGGGTATATAAGACTTTGTTTCTATCTCGCCCTTTACCTCCATTTGTTGGTGCCTCTCTTACGCCTGCCCTTCTACTTCTTCCCATCCTCTCTCTCTCTCTCTCTCTCTCTCTCTCTCTCTCTCTCTCTCTCTCTCTCTCTCTTTCTCTCTCTTTCTTTCTCTCTCTCTCTCTCTCTCTCTCTCTCTCTCCTTCCCCACACTTCCCTCCTGCCCTGACTCACCTCTGAACGTGACTTTGGCGACCTTGTCTCCACGTTGCTGTACTCTGCTGAAGTGTCGAACGTGGAACTTGAGGGCCATGGTGTCGAACCCCGTGGAGAGCGGCGGCTCCTGCTCGACTCTCAGTGTCAGCCAAGAGAAGAGAGGGAGACAGAGAGGAAAAAAATATAGAAAGCCAGGGATCAAGAGAGAGAAGAATCAACCCAATTTAAAACAAAAGATAAACAATTGAGGTGATAGATAAATAGGAAAACAGATATAAAAACAGAAAAGTATATAAATTGATAGAGAAAGACAAAGGAAAATATCCCGTTAATAGACAGATATATGAACAAATATATACATACAGATAACAAGGTAGAGAAACAGATGGATAAGTCTATAGTTAGACGTACAAGTATATACAAATTGAGAAAGCAAAAAAAGGAGTGAGAAATATACAGATACAAGACTGATGAGAGACACACAAAACGTTTGAAAGAGAATAGAAGTTCCTGTAGATGAGAGAAGACACGTAAAACACCTAGCAGAATATTGACCCGAATACTGAAGTAAAACACGAGTGTATGACAGTAAGGCTGAGGGTGAAATGTGTATTGTGTTCGCGAGAGAGGCAGGACGGTGTTCAGAGTGGGCTCGTATGCTAGCCTTCGCCTGGCATAACCCGAGAAGCGAGTCTATTCTTCATAATAAACAAAGGACAGGCAACAGTGATGATTCTTTTATAGAAATGTCCTTTGACATGCTTTATAAATGTCTGATTAAAACGTAGAAGTGAAGAAAGGACATTGCAGGAGCTCACTCTCTCTCCCACAAATTATAATAAACCCACTTTTTCTGACTAGAGTTGCAAATATATATAAAAGAAACATAAATATGAAAATTCCGTGCAAGCGTCAGTGGATACAATACCTGACCAGGAAAGGAGAGGGAATAAATTCTCTTTTAAAGTTCAAATTAACCCAAAAACGTCGAATGACGTTTAACCTAAACATTGATAACCTTAAAAAAAGGGGAAAAATACCTAAAAATTCTTTATATAAGAAAACCAAGAGTAAGACAGAGACGACTTCTCGAGGAGGATCGAGGACAGAGAACGACAAATACTTGAGAGAAAAGATGCTGAGAACATCCAGAAGAATGGAACACCTTGAGGTGTGAGCAGGTCGGCCGTCACGTCATCTGCTCATGTCAGAGGTGTGGCGGGAAGAGAAGCATTACAAGACGTGCTGCTAATCCCAGGATCTCCGGACTGAGTGGAGCGAGACGAATAAGAACAGAAAGAAAAAGAGAGCCACAAGTTGGAAAAATATAAGAAGAAAGTTTAGTTTTTGCTCTCCAGGGAGCAAAAACTTTTGCTCCAGTGGTGTGCTTGCTGAATTACTGTAGTCGAGCAGGAGGGCGCATCACTCAGGAGGCTGAAGAGTAGGAGGAACTGCTCGGCCTCCTTCCGAATCGCTTCTTCCTGGTTTCCTTACTTCCTTAGACTTGGCTCACTCCTCGCAAGTCGTCTGCGCCCTTCCCGACCACAACACCTGTCTCGGGGCACAGTACCTGTAGTCTGTTACCGGCTCACAGTTATAACTAATAGATCTTCCTCCAAGGCACTGCTATTATCACCCTCCAGGTAACACTTCACTGAGGTTCCCACACCTCGCTGCACTTTACAATCATCTAGATTATGACACTTGATCAACAAAAGATGAGTAATGCAACACTTGATCAATTACTAACTAATATAACAACACGTGATCACTGCTCACATGTGGGACTTGGATACTTATCAATACTATTCGAGGATTTTGAAACTTTTCGATCAGCTTTTATCACTCGGGAGCACCTGATCCGACGCTGCTGTTCTCAAATGAATGAAGCGACGCTTCCACCACCTCTTTTCACTTGCCAAAAAAAATTTCCAAAAAACACACGACAAAAATCACATTGCTTTAATACACTTCAATAACTCTTTATTTTTTTCAGGATCCGTGTGTACAGATGCGACTCAAATATGCACTTCACGACCAAGTAAAATCAGATACTTTTGTTTCTCATCGCTTGTTCAGTTTTGTGATATGTGAGTTATCTCCATATCCCTTTGTCAGCCACTGTTCTCCGGTGCGCACTACGACAGCTTTCTCTCTCACTGTTCTCTCTCATCTGGAAAAACAAAATGCATTAAGTATTAATGTTTATATTTTTAAACATTTGTTAGTAATTAATAAGGATGATATGTAATGATTTGAGGTTCTAATGATATATGTAGTGTGTGTGTGTGTGTGTGTGTGTGTGTGTGTGTGTGTGTGTGTGTGTGTGTGTGTGTGTGTGTGTGTGTGTGTGTGTGTGTGTGTGTGTGTGTGTGTGTGTGTGTGTGTGTGTGTGTGTGTGTGTGCGTGTGTATTTCCACATAAACGACATTACCTCAATGCTACCAAATATAAATATTTCGTTTTCTAAATTAAGAATCACATCAAAACATCACAAGCAAAACTTACACGAAAACAATTAAAATTTTCCCACTCTCTGAAACCACCGTCATCTTATATCTACTTAAAAAAAATGTTTAAAAAAAAAACCTGTCGAGTTTTTAAGAGTATAACGACTGAGGAGAAAACCATTGACCCTCCGTCCGGAATATTTTTAACAGGTGAACAGACATCTTTGTGTCAGGAGGAGGAGACTAGAGACGACTCGAGTGTCTCGCTCTCACGAACGCCTTCACGCGAACGCCTTCGACCAGCTGGTGGGTAACGTGGATAATAACAATTTAGAGAGGATTTGTTAATTTTTGTGGCAGTGGTATTGCTATTATATTATTATTATTATTATTATTATTATTATTATTATTATTATTATTATTATTATTATTATTATTATTATTATTATTATTAATGGTGTTTTGGTAATCGTAGACTCGAGAATACACAGACTTTAAGGATACACAGACCCATGGGACAGAGATTCCCATAGAAGCCACAGGAATAGACATATTTAAGAACACAGAGACCTAAACATACACAGACCCTGTATACTGAATGTATGAACAGAAATCCTAAGCAAGGCCCAAGTCATCAGAGCAGACTTCTGGGCCGAAGGACAGCCAACTTTGTTTTAATTTGACAGAAATGCGACAGAGACGAGTCTATAAACCAAGAACAGCTATCTCTCACGTGTATTATATTTAAGCTCATAAACAAAAAGTTAATGCGAAGAAAATGGAACATCTGGAAGGAGAACGTATTTCTTTCGCTGAACTCCAGCACGGTTACAAAATGTTTAATAAATCTTGTTTTACAAAACTATTAACAACGTTACAGGCTGATGACCAGCTAACAATAAATGGAAAGGAGGTGAGCTACATATTCCCAGACTGTAAGAAGGTCTTTGACATCGTGGGGCCACAGACGACTGTCTCACAAGACACAGATGCAGGCCGGGGCAAACCTGCTGTCATGGATCAAGGATCACTTGAGACATATAAGGTAAGCTGGAGCTTCAAGAAATCAAGGATCAGACGTACCAAGCGGGGTTCTGCAAGGGTCAGTCCTGGCACCAATTCTGCGTCGGATATACATAAATACCTGACAACAGGAATGGCATAAAGCAATTCAATATTTGTAGATGATGCGAAATGTATAACAAGAATAAGGATGGTAGGTGACAAAGACAGTGCATATGTCGAGATAGTCAAAGTGAACACCATACTCAATTCCCAGAGAAGACACTATAAAAGATAGTGAGTAAACAGTTGTCACTGCATTTGATGACCGACAACTGAAGCTAGATCCGAAGTCACATTTTAGTGAATACTTACACACACGCAAAAGCAGGTCAAAGATAGAACCGAGAGACACTAATAAGATATAGAAATCTAAGGAAACAATTCTTTACTTTAAGAAGTGTTATTAAACAGAATGAGCAAGAGAAGGGAAACGACGCAAATATACTTTCAATATATAGGAAAGTGACGGAAGACGAGGACCTGAGATGTAAATAATTATCATTAGCAAATAACTTCTTACAAGCAACTAGAAAGACGTACCCTAAACTGGCTCACACAACACTAAGAACATGTGAATATTGTCTTCAGCCTTCAGCATAGATTCATCTAATGGAAATATTCTTGACAGGCTTATTAAGAGTTTCACACAAAGTTGACAAATAAGATCAGAGAGAGAGAGGGATGAGCAGATTGCATCTTCCTTCACTACCATGATGCATTTGACACTGTTCCACACAAGAGACTCCGACACAAGCTAGAGAGAAGCCAGAGGAGCACGACATTAATAAACCTAATGCTGATTCTATTGTAAGTTAACGACCTAACAGATGAAATTACCTCCATCATATCAATGTGTGCTGATGAAGCAACCTTATAGAAAGTATCAGAACACTACAGAGGAAGTAGTAAAAGTAGCTACTAGACTTCAGCCGAGGTAAATGTTTACTTATTGCTGATGGAACTGGAGTGAGGAGTCCCTGTTCAGCAGTACAGAGTCAAGGAGAGAGTCCTGCAACAGAAAACGGTGAAGACCTGGAAGAAGGGTCGGTCGGCCGAGCGGACAGCACACTGGACTTGTGATCCTGTCGTTCCAGCTTCGATCCCAGGCGCCGGCGAGAAACAATGGGCAGAGTTTCTTTCACCCTATGCCCCTGTTACCTAGCAGTAAAATAGGTACCTGGGTGTTAGTCAGCTGTCACCGGCTGCTTCCTAGGGGTGGAGGCCTGGTCGAGGACCGGGCCGCGGGGACACTCAAGCCCCGAAATCATCTCAAGATACCCTCAAGAATACACAACTACGTAACTAACGCCAAAGGCCCTCATTACCAGAATAACGTTGACACCATATGCCAGACTGACCAACGCCAGGATAAGGGAGGAAGGGATTATCAGGGGGAAAGCACCAAGTCATTACAAATATATAACACTTGGAACGGGTCAGGATAAGGATAAATGGGATAGGGGGAAGGAATAGTGCCCAACCACTTGGTCGGTCGGGGATTGAACGCCAACCTGCATGAAGCGAGACTGTCGCTCTACCGTCCAGTCCAAGGGTTGGTCGCCCGGATGGAGTTCAAGAATTTGGCCAAAGAAGACCTCTGAGTGGTGTACACACTCTATCTGAGAGCCGCTCTTGAACTCTGTAGAGAGTTCAGTTAAATACATACAGTAAAGCTTATTCCCGAGTTGAGGGGACTGAGCTACGATGAAAGACTGAGAGATCTGGGGGCCATATTCACGAAACAGTTACGCAAGTACTTACGAACGTGTACATCTTTCCTCAATCTTTGACGGCTTTGATTACATTTATTAAACAGTTTACAAGCATGAAAATTTGCAAATCAACAGTTGTTATTGTTATAAACAGCCTCCTGGTGCTTCGGAGCTCATTAACTGTTTAATAATTGTAAACAAAGCCGCCAACGATTGAGAAAAGATGTACAGGTTCGTAAGTGCTCGCGTAACGTCTTCGTGAATCTGGCTCCTGAACCTCGTCTCCCTGAAGGCGACGTGTAACAAGAAGGACATAATTACCACGTTTGATATTATTTACCTGAATTTACCCGAATGCCACTATTTCCTCTAGCGGCCTCGACGAGGACAGGAAGTCGGCGGCTTGTCAAAGGGTCCCTCCATTTATCCTGATGATTTTATCTATTTGGATCTTAAATTACAGCAGTGTTTTGGCATTTACGGTTTCGACGGGTAGGCGGTTCCGGAAGATTCTAACTTTATAGGTGAAAAAAACATCTCTTTTCGTTCCTACATTGTCTCGCGTTGGGCTTGAAACCGTTGTTCGTTGTGCGCGTTACATCTGACCTTTCGAAGAAATAGTCTGTGTCAATATCCTCCAAACTGTCCCGTATTTTAAAAGTTTCGATGAGACCCGCCGCCCTGTCATGTCCGGCTTGTATCCCGCCAAAAACACGCCGAAACTACGACGTTGGTACAACGTTCGAACAAGTTTTAACGCCGCCTAACCAGTTATAACAACCAATAGAGCAAGTTGTAACAACGTTCTAATACGTCATAAACACGTTAAGCCAAGATGTAACAACTTTATTACAAGTTGTAACAAGCGGAAAATAGAGACAGTTTCGGTTTGTGATTCCAGGGATAAGTGCTGTCAACCCTGTGGTCCTCGCCCGTACCCGGGATGTGAGTCTACCTTGATTCAAGAATTACTTTTGTCGACCGCTGTTGAATTTTTACTCCAAAGCAGATAACTTTCTGGGGATGAGGTCTTCATTCTTGGATTCAATAATCCAATTGGTGACGCACTGGAGATTTATACAGTTGAATAACGTCTTTTTTTTTTCTTTAAAATCAGTTACATCTGACTAGGGGTAGAAATAGCCTAAGCAACTCTATCCCTTTGAGATGTATTTCTTTCTTATCTCAATAAACTTGAACTTGAATTAGAATCAAGTTGGCTATTTGTTTACTGAATCTCTCACTTGTTATGCAACTTTCCGTAATTTGTGGATTCTGACTCCATGGTCCTTTTTCTTCATTATAAAAGGAATTTGTAAACTAAACAAAGCAATGCTCAAAATATATGAGGATCAGCAGACCAGATGAGTCAACGGGATGTAATAAATAATTTAACTCGTGAATTAGAGTTGAAAATACAGGTAGTGGATAAGAGGATATACGACTGAAGCGACTTCAAAGGCTCAGTTTAAGTGGTAATATATAAAGAAAACGAGAAAATGTTCAGTGAATTGAATTAATTATGTTTCGAGAAGCACAAAACACACACACACACACACACACACACACACACACACACACACACACACACACACACACACACACACACACACACACACACACACACACACACACACACAACCAACCCTGTCTCCTGAAGCACACATCAAAAGAATAACATCTGCGGCGTATGCGAGGCTGGCTAACATCAGAACTGCCGTCAGGAACCTGTGTAAGGAATCATTCAGAACCTTGTATACCACATATGTAAGACCAATCCTGGAGTATGTGGCCCCAGCATGGATCCCGTACCTTGTCAAGCACAAGACGAAGCTTGAAAAAGTTCAGAGGTATGCCACTAGGGTAGTCCCAGAACTAAGAGGCATGAGTTACGAGGAAAGGCTGCGAGAAATGCACCTCACGACACTAGAAGACAGAAGA